GTTTGTCCGTTGATGAACTAATCATCTCATAATACTCCCCTTCAAACTCTTACTAGTCTGAGTAAACTGGTAAGATGTTTGACTTGTGGTACATGTAGCACTTTAGTTAATATATCTGCTTGTTGATTGTTTGTCTGTATGTATTTCACATTTATGTACTCTAACTCAATGTAGCATTTAATAAAATCTTTCTTATGATCTAAATGCTTTGTTTGTTCCAAATATTTGAGTTTGTCCAATGTAACTGTTTGTATAACAGCATTGTTATTGCAAAAGATATTAATTGGTGCATCAGAGACCTGTAGAATCTCTTCAGCTAAATGTGTAAGTGTGATTGCTTCCTGTGTTCCTCTTGCAAGAGCTATTAATTCAGCTTCATACATTGAATTTGCCACCAGTGTTTGTCTTTTACTTGACCACAAAACTAATGAATTGCTCAAGTAAAATGTATATCCTGATATTACACAATGCCCTTCTTGCATCATACTGTCTGTGTCTGTATAGCTATTCAATATTGATTGATTTGTGCTACTGAGTTGGAGCCAGACATTGCTCATAGTTTTTAAGTACATGTAACAATGTTTAAGTGCTAGATAATGCTCCATACCAGGGTCATTGAGGTATTTTGCTAACTGATTTGTTGCAAATGCTATATCTGGCTGTGTACAGTCTGTAATGTATCTAAGTGTGCTAACCATGTTCATGTATAGTATATCAGACATTTGTTTTCTATCATTATCAGTTTGCAATACTGTTTTTAATTGTGTACCAGACTGTATGAGTGTTTGTACACTTTGTTTGTTTGTAAGTTCATAACATTCTATTATACTATTAATATAATGTGTCTGACACATCCTAATGAATCTATGCTCTCTGTTGTGTTGAATCTCTATACCAAGTAGTTAGTGTAATTTGCTACTGTCTGTATATTGTAAATGACATACAATAGATTGTTTTATCATTGCAATAGTATTATTATTCATTGCTGCAATAGTAATATTGTCAACATGTACAAATAATATGGCTACAGTTATTTCTTTCTTCTTTGTAAAGAATACAGTGTTATCATGTTTGGATTTCGTTAATCTGTATTTAAGTAGTATATTAGATAGTGTTTTATACCATCTTCTACTAGCT